CGCCATGGAGTCGGCCTAGGCGCGGCCCTTGGCTCCCCGCGCCGGGCCCTGAGCCGGGCCCGCAGGTGAGGGCCACCGGGGCGGGAGATGCGGTCGCCGGGTCCCCTTGGGCCTCTTCCCTGCTGCCTGGCGCCCTGGCTTCGCGGTGGTTAAGGAATTAGCGGGCCCGTCGCTCCATTGCGCAGCGCTTATTCGCCTCCGCCCTTCGAGCGGCGAGGCGGGGCCGGCTGCGGCCCCGCGGCTCGAGCCCCGCCGCGGTGTGCCCGGCTGCCAGCGTCGCTGGCCCTGGCGCTTGCCTTTCCCGCAGGCCGTCGCTGCGGTCTGTGCGGAGATCCGCCTCGGTCGGTGGGTAAAGGGCTCGCCGGGCATCGCTTCGAGAGCGATGGAAGCTAAATCCTCGCTCTGGCCTTGCACAGCTCTGCCTGCTGCGTGGTTCCTCGGAGGCTGGCTGTGCGCTGAGGCGCTGGCTGTGCTCGGAAGATCGTGAGTAGCATAGAGGCTGGCTGGCTGACAGCCAAATTGCTAATAAAAAGAGGAAAACAAACTGAGAGGAATCGTTCCTGCGCCTTAGCAGATTGGAACGCTGAACCTCCTTTGCGTGCATTAGTTTTCAGTTCGGCGGATACATCTTAGATGGAGATTCGGGTCAGTAATGATACGATGGCATCAAAATGCAAAAAGCCAGAGACACTGGGGCTTTTGGGGACATGTGTGAAAATTATTGATATTTGTGTAACTTTTGTTCATCCACTGCTGGGTAATTTTGGAACGTGCAGCCCAATCTACCAAAATATTTAGAATGTTGTCACTGAGTTTGTGACAGGACAAAGTTTCTGTATGCTCATGTGACTTGTGATTGCTGTAAGCATTGTGATCCTATTTGGCACTAAAATAGAATTTAAGTTTGTTTAATACAGGTGTGCAGGTTAGGTTTTTTTTCCACCAATGGGAGGGGAAACAGCTGTTTTCTGGAGAGAGTTGAAGTGTAAGCATAACCATGTGGGCAAGGAATTGCTTTGTGTTGTCTTCTGCTGTGAAATACGTTTTGAGTTGATTGAGATACAGACTTCTGGAAATTTGATACTTGTATGTACTTTGTGGAGCTTGGTTTGTGGAGAGTTGCCAAAACCTGAATATTCTTATCTGTGTCCCAAGCCATGTAATTTTTTCATGACATAAGTCTTAAATGTGTTCCCAAGGCTTGTTCACGTTGGCAGGTATGAAACTGGTATTTTTGATGGGGTGCAGGTTTATCCTGAAGAATGTTTTCCACTCAGGTTGCCTGTTCTGGTCTGGGAGTCAGTGTATTGTGTTAAAAACACTGTGTGTTTTGTAACACCTTATTATTAATACAAACAATACTGTTAATATATTAAAAGGTAGGCAAGGCGTTCTTAGTGTCCAGTACAGCAGATAGATACATCTGTCGTGTATTGTCAGTTCTTGCATCAAGCTTATTTAGCCATCCTTATCTTCAAGTGAGAATGGACATTTTGCTGTCCTCTTCCTTCAAAAGTGTAATTAGGAATGTATTTTCTATTGTACATACAAAAATACTACTGCTGCCTTATCTTCATGGGCAGTACATTGTCTGATGTATTCCAGGTTACTGTGTTTACTTCATGGTTGTCTTGCTGCTTGTAGATATGCTGTGATACAGCACACCCTACAGCACACCCCACATTTTCACCTCTTCAGTTCTGACCTGGTGATCCTGTTCAGTCCTGTGACGGAGGGATGTAGCTGCTCAGGCTTAGTTTGTTTTGTGAGTTCTAGGATGCAGAGTGGGAAGGAAAAAAAAAAAGACTCTCAAAACACCTAAAGTTACTTAAGGAGAACTTTGCCTATACATACTGGAAAATCAGGGGTAAAGTGCTGGAGATTTAATGCAGAGTCAAGTTTAACTTCTTTTTGTGTGGTTTACAGTATAATCTTTAATTACATACACCTATGTTTGTGTGCTATAAGCTGCCTCGTTCAATTAAGAGTGTGGTCTACAAATGAGCCATGGAATTTCAGGAATTGTAAGGCTTTTTTGCTTGCATTTGAGGCAGTAGTTCTTGGGCCCAGAAGAATCTGTATGTATGTAACTGTTTGACAGAGAAGACTGCACTGTACGTGCATGTTCTCTGCAAGGACAACTTTAATTCTGGTATTTTCGAACCTTGCTCAATACTGTTTTAATGCTTTCTCCGTGTTGTAAGGTATGTGCTGATTTACTGTATTGTTTAAAGTACTGTGATAGCTTCAAGTGTATTGTTGCTTCTGCCGTGGTAAAAATGATAGTATTTTTTGAACAATGGTTGTTTATCCTTATGGTTTCACCGACATCCTCTTTGTTAGGGCAGGCTGATGAGAGAAACTGGTAAATAGGAATTTAGAAATAAAAATTAATGAATTTCGTAATTCATTACGGGTTCCTGTGACTGTAACTTCTGTTCCCCTAACCAGTTGAAAGTTTCGCAAAGCATCATATGTCAGAATGATCGTCATAATCATGAGAACTATTTTTGAAAGTAACAGCTTTTTCCTCCCATTAGTAATAATGAATTTTAATTATCTTCATGTTAGTGTCAGTTTAAATCAAATCTAACTTTCCAGTCTTTGCTTTAATTAATGCTGAGGACCTCAGATCATGGGACAATGCTTTCTGCTTAAAAAACCCACAAAGGATAGGACAGGAGGACAGAAATTCTTAGGTGTTTCTTGATTCTGAAAGAGAATGTAGTAGTCTTGGCTGTGACTTCCTAAGTCAACAAAGTTACAATTTTCAGAATGAAGTATCTACAGTCAGATGAAAACAAATCCACATGGAACCATTTAAATAAGAAGCCTCAATCTAGAGGTTTTCAACAATCATATAAACAGTTTGGATGACCTAATTGAGTTTAATTGTTTGTGAAGTACTTTTAATTCCTCCAATAAAAGAAGTTAGAGGAGATCCAGGTGTTCTGATAAAGCTGTTATTAAGCATGTACCATCTACTTTTAAAACTTGTCCCTGAATTATTTTAACTGTTATAATAATACTGGATCCAGTGTATTTGCTGTTGTTTTGCCGCTATTTTAATTTTAAGTCGTTTCAAGTAATTTCCTACTGTGAGACTAGAAGAATTACTAGAGAGACTTAGTCATCTGTCTATGGACCAAGCAATTCTTTTAAATTCAGCAGTGAAAGTGGTTAGATTTCATGCTGAATGTAGCACTTAATTGTTGCTTGGTTTGTACTCTGAAGTAGCTGGTGTACTGGATCACATGTTTTTTTGTTGAATGTGTTGGAATTTTGAATGTTGGATTTTTTTAGCTTGACTGCATTTAGGTGTGAGTTTTTATAAGGGGAATAAGATATTTTGTACTTCTGTGCTCTTAAGAGATTGCCTGCATATAATCATGTTGTAGCTAAGCCTAAGAGGAATCTGAAGTTCCTCTGTAGGCAGCTAATCATTGTCTGTCTTAAGACTGGATTATGACTGTAGCACAGTACAAAAAGAAATTGTCAGATGTAACTTGTTAGTGGAGGACAGAGGTCCTGATCTTCAGCATTAGGTTGTGTTTTTGCAGTGAAAGGCATTTACAAGTAAGAGCTCAGGGGGAGGTTCTTTCTGGCTGCTTCTCACTAACAGTGACTAGCACCATTGCCATGGGGCTATTCCTGATGCCAGAGATTTTCTGGGAATTAATGATGATCAGGCTCTACACTCCTCTCTTACTGTATCCCAAGTTAGTAAGTTAGGCTGTTGTGGGAGACTTAGTTAGGGAAATTCTCCATTACTACTCCTTGCTCTAAAGAGTTTTTGTTGTTAAGATGGTCCTCTTCAAAGAAAAACAAAAAGGTATTTGTTTAAGCACTAAAATGTATTACTTCACTCAGTTTCATTTGGAATAAACTTTCTGTGTGAAGGAGTTCTCTGTCACTTTTTTTAAAGGCCATGTCCAGCAGACGAAGAGTCTGTTGTCCAGGTGGATCATAATGCAGAATCCCACTGAGTCTTTCCCCTCTAAGCTTGTGTGCTTGTAGCTGTCCCACCAAACTTGAGTAGTACAGTCAGATTGTAAGAGCATGACACACAGAAATGAATGATAGTTGTTGTCTCTCAAGTTCTGTAGATGGAAGTGCTGCTATTAAATGGTCTAGGTTATTAGATAGTTTAAATGCTTTCTTTTAAAATGCAAATTTAGAAAACATCTCCAATGTCAGTGTGCTTATAAAGGCTTATAGTATGCTCATATAGATTAAGTGCATTTTTGTCACTCAGTGTTGATGCAGAACATGTTATACTAGCACTGTGGTGAAATTGTACATTGATGTTGAGTTCTGTTTTAATAAACTTGATAGAATATAACAACTGGGAAAGAGAAAGTGAAAGAGTAAAGTCAGTAAAGAGGTAGAGAAGACAAATACTGGTTTAATTTTAATAGAGACAGGGCTAGGGGAGAGAGGCATGGCAGTAATCCAGCCTGTATTTTGGGAACATCAGACAGGACAGAAGCCTCTATATGTAGCTCATGAGAGGTGGGAGAAGACAGATAGATGGGCATCTGGCCAGGATTCTTATTGAGCTCCACATCTTTCCTCTCTAGAAATCTCTATCCCTTTGTCAGCTAACTATTCCTCCAGTTCAGATTGCATTTCTCAACAGCACAAATTAAGGCTAATCTCAAACTCCCACATACCGTAAGCTGTGGGAAGTATATATACAGGAGTTTAAACCCCTTTAAAAACATTAGGAAACTTCTAAGGGGGAGGAAAAGTATTAAAAGGTACAGTTTATGTGGAAATTCAAGGACTCCAAAGTGAGGAAATGCTGCTTTTATGGCTCCTTGTGCAACTTCAGTTTATCCATTTGCCCTTTTGTGTAGAAATGGCTATATAGTTTAATAAATCATATTCTCATATTTTTCCCTTACAGAACCTTGCTTCATTCAGTATGAGAGTTGCATGCACTAA